TATGGTGGTCAGTACAATACAGCACTAAAATGTGTATTGATAGATTGAATTTATATATGATAATTGTTTATATACATTGTATTGTGTGGGAGGAGAAAAAGGCTGTACTCCACGGTTTATTGGAAGAAAAGGGCTGAACCTCTAAACCGGATTTTGTGTGACAGTGATACAGCACTACAATGTGTATCAGGCTGCGAATTAGAAGTGTTTTTGTTTCATTAATACAGCACTACAATGTGTATTAGTTGAGACTTATAGAAGTGTTTGAATTGATTTGATATAGTTCTAAAATGTATATCGTTATCAATTGTAAAGTATAGAAGTGATTCTATTTTATGTTGATACATCACCGAAATGTGTATCTTTCACAAAGTGTGGGAATGGTTTAGGTGTTAGTGATACAGCATTAAAATGTGTATCCCTCATGAATTTTGAAAATGTTTTCAAGATGAGTCTAAATCTCATTAAGTTATTTGGCTAGGGTTGAGCCTTGTTGTCAAACTCAGAATTGGAAAGGTCATGGGAAATGAAATGTAATATGGACTTAATGTTATGAAATCGAAATGTGATATATGTGGATGTATCTGTGTAGACCATCTATCAACTGCTAATCTTTTAGTCATTGTTCATGGCTGGTTTAGTGTATTTCTACTGGGCTGTGGCTCACCCTTTATGGGACATCATTTTCAGGTACAGGTAGCATGCCACCTCCAAGGACATAGCTTGGGAGGCTAGAGGCATGCAGATTGTTTTGTTTACTTTCTTTTGATGTATTACATGTAAATTCAAGCTAAGGGCTTAATATGTATTGAGTTAGCACTCTTCTTTTTGTAACCAAGTGTTAGCTTGGAAAGCTGTAAGCCCGTAGGGCACTTGCTTTTGTTGTTAACATGTAATACTTTTGTAAGAACTACTCTGATTAATGGAAAGATGGTTGATTTCTTTTATGTCAATGCATGTCTAAAGTGATGGGATTAATGTTATTATTTGAGGGCGTGAAAAATCTCCATTTCATAACATCACCACATTTCCTCAAAAAGGAAGTTTCCAAATTTCTAGGGTTTTCATAAATAAGATTTCCTCTTCATTTCAAAAGCCATTATTTGAAGATAATACTTCTCCATAACGATGTGGCTTAAATCTTAAGGGTTTTTGTAAAAAAAACATTTTTTGAAAGCCCACATTTAAAAGCATTTATAACTCATGAGTCAAAAACAAGTTCAACACAACAAGGAAGAGCTCTAACAACAGCATATTCATACCAAAAATGTATATATGACTCAAAGAAATCTCTACCTCAAATTTGAAGAAGAAATGAAATGAAACTTCCAAAATCAACAGTGTCGAAACCCAATCTCCACTGCACACAACGAAGCTCTCGCTTAGCTCTCCAAAATTTATAAAGGATGTTCGGTCAAAACTCCAATGGATGACAAGAGATCAAGAGTTAAAGGTGTTTAGTGGAGGTTTTTAGAGAGAAGGGAGAGGAAAATGTGTTTTTAGAGAGAGAGAGATGTGTAAAAAGTGAGATACACTCGGTCCAAGAAGAGAGAAAAGATAGATTTTTCAAACTCAACGGACTCTCGCATGTGCGGCACTCATTCTCGCACGTGCGGTAACCCCCTCCGCACATGCGGCTCTCACTCCCGTACGTGCAACACTTCCTCTCCGCACCTCCTTCCGTACTTGCATATAAAGCAGAATGTGCCATGGCAACTCCCTTCTTCACCGCACGTGCGGCCTCACCTCCCGTATGTGCGGCCCCCGCTCCGTAAGTGCGGGCTAGGCCCCCGCACGTGCGGTTTAGCCACCCAGCCAGAAATCATCCCAGTTCGACTCGGGACACCCTGGATTCAACCCCACACCTTTTAAAACATGTGAAACTGAACACGAAAATAAATAAAAACAAGGATTTTGAGAAAAGCTTCCAAATGCAACTAACTCAAACCGTTAACAAGACTCCAAGTTAAACTCGATACTTTAACAAAGGCAAACACAACGTAAAACAAAGAGGAACAAGGTGGCTTACGTACTCAGTCATCACAGCTGATATATATACGGATTTGCGAAGACGATTTGCGAAATCAGTGAACATGATTTGTGAAATCAATTAAGACAATCTCCAAATCTGAAGATCTTGCGCCGAAGATCTCACCCTTGGTCAACAATAGAAGGTCTCGCCGCCGACAATCAACACACTTAATTAAACGAGAGATTACATTTTAAATTTGTACAAATCTGTATCAGATTTAGAGAGTTTCATCGAGATTTGTGAGTGTTGATGGAATTTTAGAGGTTTTGTTTTAATTACGTATTTGATTATTGTTCGAGTTCAATCAGGTATGTTGATTAGTTTTTTTGTTTGTGTTTTTTATTTATTTTTATTGTGTATGATATGATTTTGTTTGACGAAATGAGAGTAAAATTTTACTCTGGTATGTGCTCTATTTTTGTTTGATAGAATGAAAGTAAAATTTTATTCTGATATGTGCTCTGTTTTTGCCTGATAAAATGAGAGAAAAATTTTACTCTGGTATGTGCTCTATTTTTGTTTGATAGAATGAAAGTAAAATTTTATTCTGATATGTGCTCTGTTTTTGCCTGATAAAATGAGAGAAAAATTTTACTCTGGTATGTGCTCTATTTTTGTTTGATAGAATGAAAGTAAAATTTTATTCTGATATGTGCTCTGTTTTTGCCTGATAAAATGAGAGAAAAATTTTACTCTGGTATGTGCTCTATTTTTGTTTGATAGAATGAAAGTAAAATTTTATTCTGATATGTGCTCTGTTTTTGCCTGATAAAATGAGAGAAAAATTTTACTCTGGTATGTGCTCTATTTTTGTTTGATAGAATGAAAGTAAAATTTTATTCTGATATGTGCTCTGTTTTTGCCTGATAAAATGAGAGAAAAATTTTACTCTGGTATGTGCTCTATTTTTGTTTGATAGAATGAAAGTAAAATTTTATTCTGATATGTGCTCTGTTTTTGCCTGATAAAATGAGAGAAAAATTTTACTCTGGTATGTGCTCTATTTTTGTTTGATAGAATGAAAGTAAAATTTTATTCTGATATGTGCTCTGTTTTTGCCTGATAAAATGAGAGAAAAATTTTACTCTGGTATGTGCTCTATTTTTGTTTGATAGAATGAAAGTAAAATTTTATTCTGATATGTGCTCTGTTTTTGCCTGATAAAATGAGAGAAAAATTTTACTCTGGTATGTGCTCTATTTTTGTTTGATAGAATGAAAGTAAAATTTTATTCTGATATGTGCTCTGTTTTTGCCTGATAAAATGAGAGAAAAATTTTACTCTGGTATGTGCTCTATTTTTGTTTGATAGAATAAGAGTAAAATTTTACTCTAGTATGTGCTATGTTTTGTTTGAAAAAATGAAAGTAAAATTTTACTCTGGTGTTATGTGTTCTGTTTTTTATTTTTTGATAGAATGACAATAAAATTTTACTCTAGTACCGTGTACTTTTGTTATTTGTTTTTGGACTCGTAGTGATAGTAAAATTTTACTATAGTACCTTGTACTTCTGTTATTTGTTTTTGGACTTATAGTGACAATAAAATTTTACTTTGATTGACAGTAAATTTTTACTGTCAATTGATTGTAGATTTGAAAAATGGTTCCACTTCTTATGTTATTATGCAAGTATAGTGATCGTACCATTGTGTTGAAGGTTGTGTCAAACTGCACATTGAAGAATTTGACCGATTTCTATTGTTTATTGATGGTACTTTCCTGAATGGCAAATATAAGGGCACATTGTTATCAACTACAATAAAGTATGGGGATCAAGGTAGATACTACTGTCAGTGTCTTACAAAGTAAAATTTTACTTAATTTCAGAGTAACATTTTACTTGTTTTCAGAGTAAACTTTTACTTTTAATTATAGTAACATTTTACTATTTTACTTTTTTTGCCTTTTGTGTATTATACTTACTAATTGTAAAATGTTCTCTCTTTCAAATTTTTTTTCCTCTTGCAATTTGTATTATCGGTACAAAGACTACGGATAGTTGTGGATGATCTTGTTGTCTTTCATCCAATTTGTTAGAAGTTACTCGATAGGCCAAGAAAGAATTGAATTCCATTTAGGGGTAAGAACATAAGAAAAGTGCAGTATTGTAGATGCAAGAAATACAGTCATAACAAGAAGACTTGTAAGGAGACATTGTCATGAAAGACATTATTGTTTTGTAATAAAAGTATGAAAATAATGTAGTATTTTTGCAATAACATTCTATTTTTACTATGTTGTCGAATGGTTTGTCTATCCAATTTTCCTAAATTATTAGTTAAAATAAAATTTTAACATCATTAAAAACTATTAATTAATTTGATGTTTTATTAATAAAATAAGTTATTTGTTATGAAATTAAAAATCTTAGGGACGGGATATAATTTTCACGACCACATAGGACAATTTATATTTTAAACAAATCTATTTGTAATTTATCTTTAAAAGAAATAGAAAAAGAAAGAAGCTTATTATTGTTTCCTGAGCCTTACTTATTTCGATTGCTTGGTCTCGCTGGAAACTCCTTTCTTATTATTTTTCTTAATAGAGAAAAGGCATTGAAGTAAGAAAGAAAATATACGTAGAAAAAGAAAGTCACGCATCTTTAACTAAGCTTGTCAACGGACTTGGTGAAAATTCAATCACAAAACCTGATTTTGTTAGAGAGAAATCCAATCCAATAATCTAATTATCCAAATTCATATTCAATCACTAAATGGATCAGATATGTAAGAATTCAACCTAAAACAATTGATCGTCTGATCTGATCTTAACCGATTATAACATTTTGCTTTGCATCATAATTGTAGTTTTGGAGTTTAAATTTCGCAACTCATCAAATCAAATGACTACCTTTACAAAAATATGTACAAGCGTACAAATTGTAAATTTGAAATGCCTCCATACATATATATATATATATATATGTCCATCTGTATGAACAAAATCACTCAAATTGACTTCAAAACTAAGAAATCTCATGCATGAATGGTTCCTCAAAAAACAGTTCAGTCCAACAGGAAGAAGAGGCTCCTCCACCACCATAGCTAGAAACGCTGCATCCATCTCCAGGATTGCTTATCGACACCTCGCTTATTGGCAGAGTGCCTGAAGAAGTTGGAGATGGAAGAAGCCATGGAGAGTTTGGTGGTTTATCATCTTCATGGCTGATCATTGCAGTGTTAATACCACTAGTCAAAGGTGTTTGGAAACAGAAAGGGACTTGTGGGTCTGACACTGGAATATTCAATGAGGTGATGATGGGATTGTTGTGGTGGAGTGGTTGAGAAGAAGTTGCATTTTCAATGGAAAATAGTGCTTGATTTTGCAATACTTGGGTTGAATAACTTGAATTTAGAACTGGGTTTTGCTTCAATGGAGGAATTGAATTCCATAAACTGAGAGCATCAATGTGATCTGTAATGCTGTTTTGGCTATATGGGCTTGAAGTTACTGATGATGAGTCTGCAAATTGGAGAAGATGTTGTAGGTATTGAAGGTTGGCCAATTGATCAGCTTCCAACAAGGGTTGGTTTATGAGGTCCTTAAGGTTAGCCATGGCTATTAGATGAGGCAAGTTTGCAAAAATATCGGCTCTTGGTTGATGAGTCATTGGATCAAAACCCATTTGAATCAGCTTCTTCTTCAAATGTGTGTTCCAGAAATTCTTGATTTCATTGTCTGTCCTCCCTGGTAGATGCGTCGCAATTGCTGACCATCTTGTGAAAATAAAAATTAGTAAATTTCATTAAGCAAACACATTTGAAGAGTACATAATTACATCACAAAAAAATATCGACAATGTGCATATCATTACCACAATGAGACGGAAATTTATACATTAGTTTTGGAGTACCACATAGTCATACTCTGTCACAAATCACTATTTATTATATCTTCTCATATTCCTCAATCATCTAATACAAATAATCAAGGACCTGACTCGGCATTGGTGGGCCTTAATTCGGGTCTATGTTAATAATTCAAACCGTTCAATGTGTAGAACTCGTTAAATACATCATCCCTGTAAAAAAAATCATGTTAATTGGATATCGATAACCACTTGATCAGATCGCATTTTCAAATATAATTTTTGAAATAAATTGCTATAGAAATATGATCTGATCAACTAGTTATCAATATCCAATTAACAAGATTTTATACAGGGATAATATGCTCAACGAGTTATACATATTGAATGGTTTGGATGATCGACATAGGCCTG